ATACTTAAGAAGAATTGGTGTCAACAGAAGAGCAAACGAAGTTGTCTTCCTCCCAGATATGCTGGATGGTGTCTGGACCCCAAGGTTCCAGTTTGGGGGTGGTGGGTCCCAACTACATGACCCATTATGGTCGCTGGTCTCTGATTCAAGCAATTTGAGAGGCTAGCTCTGGACTGGACAAAGGGGAGGTGGGAAACCGAGCCTGGAAACTGAGAGATGGATGAATGTTCTGGAGCCAGGGCCTCAAAGTCAAAGACTGGTTTGTTGCTGGCAACTTTCCGCTCTCCACTAAGTAAATCAGTGACCATTAAGAACCCGCTGGGGACCCAGCTTGTGGCCCAGCAAGTAGCTGTTTCCTGAGGCCAGCTTCTTCTAACAGCCAAGTCTTGGGGCTTTCCCAACCTGTTCTGGCTGGACCCTTGGGTGTTGAATCACTAAATTCCCTCCCTACCTGCTGTCTTCTTCCTGAAACACTCAGAATAGACTTCCCCCTCCTTTCTAATAAAGACAAAACTCCAGACTCCAAACCCTCTCTCAACCTTCTCATACTCTTCCCTTTCTGCCTAGCAGACCTCCTCTTCTGGAAGCCTCCTTCTTGGGGAAGGGGCGGTAAACCCCAGCCACCCCAAACGCGCACACTCATCTTGCCGACGTGCCTCTCACTCACCTCCAACGTGCTCGATCCATACTTTTGCTTTAAAACGACAATTCTTCCTTTCTCTCTTGCCTCCTGAGGTCCAGCCCATTAGCTAGGATGGAAATGGGAGCAAAGGAGGGACCTTCATCGTAGGGACCCATTCTCTAAGGCCACTAAGTTCTGGAATGGGAGAGGGGGCTGATTGTCAAGGTCAAGTGCAAACTCAAGGTTAAAAAGATAGGCTCCGGGAAGCGGGATTGGCATGGTAAAACCAACATTATAGGCAGCTTGGGACCAAGGCCCAGGAAGACAGAGTCCTCTACCCAGTCTATACCTAGTCCTCTACCCAGTGTGCCCAACTTCTGGCCTGAGGACCCAGGTGCACAGGACAAAACAGGAGGGATGCTATTATCAGTGAGGCTCTTCTTCCTGAAGTGCAGCTATAGGTCACTGACCCTGTTCTGTCACTGGCTCTGATCACAGAGCTTGAGAACCAGGGGCTGCCCCAACCAGAGATCATGATTTAGACAAAAAGCTCAGTAATATCAAGGGGGAGCCCTCCACATGATTCCCATGAAGCGTTCAGTCAGGCCTGCAGTCTAGACCAGGGGTGCTGACGTACCCGCACGGGTAGGTCCACTGAGCTCACGGTGACCAATTTCTCGCCCCGACCGGCCTGATCCACCCTCAGCAATATAAGAACTGAGGGCCAGCTGCTCTCATGACATGGGGATTCCCACAGTGGCGATATGCATGGCAAAGGCTGGGAGTCAGCCTACTAGAGACACTGCGGGTGGCAGCCCCATCTGACCGCCTCGGCACTTCCACACCCAGTGGCGGCACCTTTCCACATCTTCATTTTGGACCCCGGGACGATGGCCTAGGCTGCTTCTGCTAGATCTGTTAATGCCAGTGTGAAGTTTCCAACTAAATACTTAATAAAATAATTACCAAAAAAAAAAAAAAAAAGACACATTGCACTCTCCAGCCAGAATTACACGTGTGAATAACACATACACTTGCTGCCAGAAGCTGTGAGTCCTTTGGGGCCTGCCCAATGCCAAGGACTTGTTCAATGGAGACAGCTTGCCCAGTATTTTTTTCCTCTAACCCCATGTTCTTTAGTTCAAGTGGGAAATGACCAACACTCTCACATACGCACTCGAATGCGCACACACACACACACACACACACACACACACACACACTTCCTCAACAACACACAGCCCTCAAAAAAGTGAGGGAATCTTAATTCTTTAGCACTGTGGATGGTTCTCTTTCCAGAGAGCTCTGCATCGGGATTCTTGAAGATTGGACCTATAGACGTATACACTCCAAGGAGAGCCACCCCCACACGGGGGCATGGTCCCACTCTGGGCGCCAGGTTCCTATATGTACAGAAATTCACCGAACGGGATGGAGCAGCAAGCGTACAGTACTGGAGGTGGAGGGGATGAGCCCGCAAGGATGTCCCTGTCGCCCTGAGGGGCAGAGCTTTGGACCCAGAGACTTCCTGTCCTGTCCCCTCTCTACTGGCACCCAGGTAGGAGGCGGCGGCTTGGTACCTGTTGTGGGAAGTTCTGTCTGCAGGGACCTCGGCAGGCTCCTCCGACGCTTCTCCAAGACCTTCTGGGGACTGTCGGGGTGTTGAGCAGAGGCAGGGCTCACGCCTTGCTCGGGCTGAAGTCATTGAGATGAATGGGTGGCCCTGGCTCAGCACCAGGCCCAGCTGCAGGCTTGTGGGAATTGGTGCGTCACTGGGGAATGCTGGGCTCAAGGCACCCACATCCCTCCAAAAGGGTTTGATTACATCGAGGGTTCCTGCCCATAAACTGAACTTGAGGTTACGTAGTTTTAGAAAGACTCAAACATACATCAAAAGGATCATGGCCCAAACATCAAGAGATTGGCGTGAGAGGGCTGCTGAGGGTTATTTCTGGGACAGGTCTTTCTGAGCAGCTGGCTGAAAAACAACGGAAATGAAAACAAGGAACGGTTCCTGGAGGCCCTTGCTCTGTGCCTGGGGCTGGGGCCCCGGGGAGGCCAAGTGCCCCATGCCACTTCCCTGAATCCCTCTCTTCTGGGTGGACAACACCCAGCAGAAGGGGATGCCCTCTGGTGGGGACCCCTGCCATCTTGCCAGGGAAGGGGGAAGGGGAGGAGGGGTAAAAAAAAATCAATACCCAGGTCATCTATAGGCTCCACAGCTACGACTCCTTCCAGGAGCCCCACCTCCCCTAGCGAGAGACGGGGTTGCTGGCTCTCCCGCCACCATCCCAACGAGCCCTGGCATCCCTCTTGATAATATTGCACTTTTCCTGTCTCTCAGATTGTTTTCATTTTCGATTGAGAATGCAAAGTATTTGGAGCGGGTAGGGGAAGTGAGTAACCTTAAAGAAATAATATATTAGTTAAATACAAAAACAGGAAAAGTAGGGGTTACTTTATCTTTTTTTCCATAAAAACAAAACAAACTACCAAACCAAGGTCTAAACTTAAATAGTTCTACACCTATTCTGCAAATACTAGTAATATGAAAATAATGCTTGACCGAAATTCCCTTGTCTTTTTTCCTTAGATGATAATAGTAACATGCCTTGCTGAGGAAAAGCAATGGATATAAATGCCAGTAAAATACGCTGCTCTAACATCTGAAAGTGATTAAAACGATTCTATATAATGCCTTCGTCAAGATGGAGCATGGAGGAGGAAAAAAGAGGACCCTGTGGGGCTAGGCTGGGGGTGAACGGGCTGAAGGCTGGCCAGAGGGCCCAGCCACAGCTGGGGCAGATGGCACACCTGCTGTTCAGGCTGCCCCCTCCAGCTCCCTCTTGCCACCCTCGGGGTCCCTTGGCCTAGTGGGAACAGCATGATGGGGCCAGGGAGCCCAGCCAGGCCCCTGTTACAAAGTGGGAGAGAGATGAAGACATCTTTTTCCCTTGTAATAAAAGAAAAAAGTCTTTAAACTGAAAGAAAAAGCACCAAATGATGCATCTTCGGGCATTATATAAACCTCAATAATGACCTCAGAAGGGCTCATTTTGATTAAAGTTGCAGTATACAGCAATACAACGTCATTTCACATTTTCAATCACAACTAATGGAAAACTAGGTTTGGACACTGCTGAGATTTTTTTTTTTTTTTAAACCTTTTAAAGTCCGATCTGGTTTTCCTCCAGATGGGTCAGAGCCACAGACCCCTCCCTCCTCTACCTGCTGCCAGAAGTACCCTCCAACATCACAAAGCAGCTCAGTAGCTCTAGGGAAAAGCCCTCTTGCCCTGGGCAGCGCTAGGAGTCCAGGGGCACAAGGCCTGGCATCCCCTGGCCATGTCTGAGAGGGACTGGCATGCACCCTTCTTGCTTCAAGTATTAATATTCTCTTTGGGTTTGCAGGGTTTGTGCTGTGCTGTGAGTAAGGGGGTGATGGTGAGGGGCAAGGGGCGAAGACGGGGCATGGCAATCCCTGTTCACTGCCCAAAGCTACATGCTGTCACCAGGTGGCAGCATTCTCTACTTTTCCTGGATGCCTGAGCAACCCCCAGCCATCCTTAGGGCTGGATGTCACATTGTAAACATGATGACCACACTATAAACTCTAGCGGGGCTGGGGAGGAGTGCAGGGGTGGATGCAGTGGGGAGGTCTGCAGTTAACTAGCTATGTGATTTGGGGAAAGCTAATTCCTGTCTTTGGGCTGCAGTAACAGGAGGGTATGGGATGGAGTGACCCTGAAGGTCACTTAAAATGACTCACTTAAGGGCACTGGGGATTAAGGAGAGAGGGTCCTTGGGGGGCTGGGAGAACATCTGCCTTGTGGGTGGTGGAGAGTCCCACAAGGCAGTGCAGTGAGGAAGGGCAGGGAAAGATAGGCTCTGGGGAGCACTGTGGTCCAGTCCGACTGAGATGCTCTGTGCTTGGCAGATGCGTCCTGCACTCCTTCCTGGCCTGGCTGGCGTGTTACTGATTGAACTGGCTCAGTGCAGACATTGAGGAGTGAGGCCGCTGGGGCCATCCCCCTGGAAGATAGCTACGTGGAAGGTCCTTTAACCCGACAATCACTCTACTTTTAAATTTTATTTTAAATAATCATAAATTACTTTTTTTTCTTTTAATAAATATGTGCTGCTTAAAAATGAGAAAAGTATATACTGCATCTTTAAGTAATGCACTTTGCTCTCTGGGTTTCTTTCCATTCCACCGTATTAAAGTGCATTAATTAAAAAATAATGAACCACTTCTTTATCATTATTGTTCAAATAAGTCCAAATAATATTAATATGAAGACACTACAACACTACCATTAGTACTGCAATCTAGCAGATAACTCAACATCCTGCTCTATTTAATACTGTCCAGCAGAAGAAAATAATAACTAATTTTAATTTTAAACAAACAAAAGGAAGCAAAATCTCACCACGGCCTTTTCAACATAGAACGGGAGCAGTTTGCTAGAGCTGCCAGGCGTCAGTGTACGTACGGCGAAGGAGGAGGGCAGGGCGGCTGGGGGCTGAGGGCACGAGGCGCGGGTCCCCCGCTGTTCTTCAGGCATCATACGCTTCCTGGGGGGCGGGGGAGTGTGGGCGGAGGGAGGGCCTTTCCTCCTTAGTCCAGGATCTGGCAGCTGAGTCGGGGGCTGTGAAGCCTGATCTGTCCACAATCAAAGGCACGTGTGGAAATCCACTCCCAGTGAAGAGTGAGTCCTTGGGGAAGCCAGTTTGGCCTCTGAAGTGTCGACTGAAAGACACCACCCAGAGTTGACAGGGACGTCATTCTCTCCCTTCTCTCTTCGCAGGGGCACTGCCCCTCAGAAAGACCAGGTTGGCTCCTGGCCCAGGGATCTTCGCCTCCTCGGGCACCTGCGGTATTGCTTGCAGGCCAGGGGGTGCCTGGTGGTGTCCGCCCAGCAGGTTCCCCTTGGCCCAGGGTGAGGGCGATGGCTGCTGCTCCACAGCCTTCACATAAGGCTTCGGGCCCTGCCCAGGCAGGAGAACGTTCGCTGCCCCTCTCCTGAACACCACCCTCCTCCCTGCTGAGGGTTCTGCCCTGCTGAGGTTGCACAAGAACCAGGAGAGCAGCGTCTCTGCTTTGCCACGGCTGGGACCAGGGCTCCTCCAGCCTGAGATCCCTCTGGCAAGCACCGGTACTGTCCACACAGTGGAAACCAAATGAAGCGACTTTGGCTTGTGGAGGGAAGAATGCAAAACACAAACCAAACCACCTCCCCACAAGAGTATGATAGAAAGGCCATCCACTACCCATCCCGTCCCGTGAGGCTGACCGCCCTTGGGTCCCCAAACAACTCCTAAAGTAAGACCAAAACCCAAGGCCTGACATAGAAGGCCCAAAGCAATACATCTCTCCCAAAACTTGCAAAGAACTGCCCACCCAGAAATATCCAAAATAAAGTCTGTGCAGACTGTGAAAAGACCGACGGCTCTACCTGCCTTCTCTGTGAACACTGGAGCCGGTGGTCCTCCACGGGGGTGCCCCAGGCAGGGCAAGCTCTCTTCTCAAGGCCAGCAGCAGTGACGGCTAAGAATGGTGGTCCTTGCTGGCAGCTGGGGAACTGCTTTCTCTTCAACTAACAAGAAACAGTGGCCTGGCCCAGGGACAGCCTGAGCTCACAGGAGATGCCTCCCAGCCCCAGGGCCAGTGGTATCTCCTACCACACCCACCCATGGCAGGTGGCAGAGATTCCTGGGAAACCAGCATAACTCACAAACATAGATTAGGATGATACAAGGGCTACTTCCGGGGTACAAGATGCCAGCAACGGAAGCCAGGCTAGGCAGGGGCAGGGCACAGGAGGCCCGCACAACCACACCTTTCCCAGATTTGCAGCCAAGGCACAAATTGGGGTTTCCTACATGGCCTGTCCCAAATGGTGCCGAGTCCATCAGCAAAGTTCCCAAGGTGCACGTGTGAGGGCTCAGCTTTCTTGCCTCCGGTCCCAGGCCCAGGACACCCCTGCCCCTTCCACTCCCTGCTCAATGTGGGCCCCCACCAGACCCTACCTTCCAGCTGGGGGACAGCCTGGAGGGGAGTATCTTCGAGGTCCCACATTCTGCAGGTTTAACGTTGTCCCCCCCACCCCCTCCCATTTTCCCTTTCCCTTTTGTCTTCTCTCACAGCTCACCCATACTGAGGCTGCAAGGACTTAGGCCCCCCACCACTCCTCATTAGTTCTTTTTCTCCAGGTAGTTGGAGGGCACCCAGCCTTTGAAGGGCTTCACCCCGTCCAGAATCTGGCAGTACCACCAGCCGTTGGGGTTCCTCTCCAGGACCTCCATGGACACGCCCTCCTGGAAGCCCGCCGTCTCCTCGTCCCCCTCGTAGTCTGCGATCGAGACGTACACATCTTTGAGGTTGTTGTGGATGAACTGGGACTTCTCAATGGGCTTGGGGCGCACAGGGGACACCGGGATGCCGTTGCGCTGAGTGGGCAGCAGAGGAGGGTCCGAGCCCTGGCTGGCGGCCCGTTCGACCAGGCGGCCCTTGGCTTCTGCGGCTGCCGAGCGGGCAGTGCTGAAGGAGGAGTTCCGGCGGACGCCTCGGAGGCCGTCGGTGGCCGTCAGCGACTCATTCCTCCTCAGGGCACAGGACAGGTTGCTGTCCTTGGGCGGTGGGGACACGAACACCGACTGGGGCCTCACGGCCACCTGCCGCACGCCATTCCTCATCTTCACCGCCCCGGCACCCGAGGTCTTGACGAAGCCCCCGGGAGGCTTGGAGGGGATGGGCGGCGTGGCCCTTTTGCTCTGGTTGACAGTGTTCAGCGCTTGGACCCGCTTCTCGATCTTTTCCAGGCTGTCTGACTTGCCCTCGTTCTGCTTGCTCTTGGGGGCCACTGTGTCCAGCTCTTTGCCAGGGGGGTCGAATTGCTCGTTCTCACCGAGCACCAGATAGTGGGAGGGGGCCCAGCCCTCCAGCTCCCCAAACCTCACGTACCACCAGCCACTTTCCAGCTTCTCAAGCACCTGCACCTCCACGCCTGCCGGGAAGCTGATCTCCGAGTCCTGGACCTTTTGGTAGGCACTGCATGTCGTGTAGGAGGTGGCCTGCCCTTCCCACCCCTTCTTGGTGGGACACGGGGGCGTGGCGGCAGGGAGGGTGATGAGGTCGGCTGAGCCTCTCCTGGACCCCTCACCGGGACCCTCGAAGGCCATCTGGGGGGGCAGCTCTGAATCCTCGCTCTTGGCGCCCTTGAGGCCGCCCCGGAGCTGGCCAATGGGCCTCAGCTGGCGCCGTAAAGTGCTGATGTCCATCTTCTCCTGACTCTGGGACTCTGTGCGGCTCAGGAATGGCTTGGGCCGAACTGATGGCTTGGCCCGGGCACAGGAGGTCAGCCCAGTCTTCGGGTCAGCATCCTTCCTCGCTCCGACCTTGGGAGCGCCGCGGATGCCTGCGTCCGAGGCAGAACGGCGCTTCAGGTCCCCACTGTTCTTGGACAAGGACGAGGAGGAAGAGGAGGAAGAGGAAGAGCAGGTGGTGTTGATGGTGATGGACGAGGAAAAAGAGGCCGAGGAGTGGTTCTTCCCCAGTTCCGCCTGGGCGTTCTTCTCTGCCTTGAGCTTCAAGAGCGACGACGATTTGGGGGAGCCCGATCTGGGGGAGTTTTTCCTGGCAAGGGACAGCGGGGAGCCGCCTGGGGAGTCGCTGTCCCGGGAGGAGCGCCTGGCCGACAGGGTGTCCTCTGCACATGCCCGGAAGCCCTCGTTCTCATAGATGGTCTCCTCTTCCAGGGCCACGTCCTCTGCAGATCCGCCCACCTTGAAGCGGGCGCGCTGCAGTGAGAAGGCGGGCGAGGGCCTGTGGGGCTGGCCGGGCCGCCTGTCCCCCGAGCCGCCGTCCTCTGCGGGCTCCTCACTCAGCTCTGGCTCTGAGTCGAAGCCAAAGGCAGGGATGTCATACTCGGGCTCCTCGTACCTGAGCCTCAGCGGGGAGTCCTGGCTCTCACCAGCACCCGCCAGACCCTCCTCGGCCTCCTTGGGCTTGCTGGGTGGTGCCGGTGGGGGCACCTTGGGCCGCGTCAGGGTGCTCGTGCGGCGGCTCAGGTTGGGCTTCCTGCGCTTATCGATGTACGACGCGGGGGCCCAGCCCTCCTTCTCACCGATCTGCACGTACCACCAGCCACCTGAGTTCTTGTCGATGACCTGGGGGAAGGGGCAGACGGGCCAGTGAGCTGGGAGGATCGCTGGGGCCCTACCATGTGCCAGGGTGGGAGCTTCCCACCTTGGCTCTAGGAGACATTATCTCCATTTCCCAGATGAGTGAACTGAGCCACTGAGTAAGTGGCCCAGGACCCAACGTAGGAAGTGATGGGCTGGCATTCAAACCCAGGTCTCTATCGTCTCCTGGATGGGGGGGCTCCCACTCTCCAAGACCCCCTCTCCTGCTCTTCCAAGTCTCCTTCCAACACCCTGGTCGAGCTGGCCTCCTCTCCAGACCCTCACTTCTCCTCCCGCTGAGCTACTACACTTGGAAGATGCACTGTTCCCAGTCCCTACAAAACCCCCGCTCACCACGGACCCATACGTACAAAAGACTGCCATTCCACCACTTCCATCCTCTCAGTCCCATACTGCTAGGCCCTCCCTCGGTGACGCTGGAAAGGGTCTCTCAGGGCAGAAGAGAATAAGAGGGTGCAGGTGAGTGGAACCTGGAGGTAAGGCTGAGGCCGGACCTCCCTGGTTTCCCCATTGCTCATGGTCATTTCACTACATGTGGAATCCCACTGAAATCCTACCAGCTGAGGAGATTTCTTTGAGTTGAATGGCTTCCTGGGGGAAGGCTAGGGCCTCTCAGTCATTTCCCTGTTAGTATAAACTCGTTCAAGGAGCTTCTTTCTCAACTGCTATTTGAGACTGGAGAAAGCCCAGGAGTGTGGTTGCTGGCTGTACTGAGGTCCGTTTGTATCGGGGAATACGAATGGAAGAGGCAGTTGTCCTTCCATGTGCACAGGTTCTGCATCCCTGGATATGGAGGGCCAACTGCACTACGATTTTATATAAGGGCCTTGAGCATCCAAGGATTTGGGTGTCCATTGGGGGTCATGGAACCAATGCCCCACGGATCCCGAGGGACACCTGTAATTTTGAATTGTGGAACAACTGCTGGAGGAAGAGGTCCCAGGGAGGGGAAGGGAAGCTTGAAAGCACCGGCACTGGGGGAAGAGGGGCAAGGAAGGAAGGGAGGATAGAGGCCACCAAAGGCAAGGTCTGCCTGAGGCCAGCCCTCTGCAGCCCCTGCCCTGCCTTGGGTGCTATATTCCATCCTTCACTCTGCCCACTCCATACTCAAAATGCATACGTGGGTAGATCCTACGTATGTCAGTTCTCTTACATTATGAGCTTCGTAGGCTCTTCTGGAAGCATAAGCACCACTGAGAGAATGATTTCTCTTAGAAATTTAGTTCTAAGTTCCAGGCATGTTGTTTAAAACATTCACATTGGGGGTGTCACCTCTTCAATGGGCAGAAACTGCCCAGTTACTCTTCTGATGGTTTTACAGGTATTAACTGGACTTAACTCCATTACTACAGAGCCACTCAAGAGAAAGATCTGAGTCACAGATCTTCTCTGGCCCCTGGAATGCCATGTTCAGCGCTGGCCACAAAGTGGGGTTTCATAAATGCTAGAAGACCGGCTGGGAGGGAGCAGGAGAGGGTCTACTGCCCATTTGCAGAGAGAAATCATCAAAACCTGGGGGAGAAGTGACTGCATCAAATGTCAGAGGTGCCTGTGGTGTGGACATGGCCAGAACTGGGGTCCTCAGTTCCTTACTCCAGCTGCCTGGACCACATTCTCCCAACAGCAGCACTTCCTAATATGGGTCTTGTGGAACCCTGGCCCCCAGGAGCTCCTGGGAGAGGAATCTAGGTGATACTGCCTATTCCAGTCCCCTCTTAGAGACACACAGTGACATCCCCATATCTAGGCTCTGAGAAGTTCTGCAATTAAAACAACAAAGCTGGTTGGGTTTTGTTTAACTCACTGTCCTCCAAACTCAACCCCAGAGGACCTTTGTTTCAAAGTGCCCCCATCACAAGCTCCTATAATATGCTTTGGGAAACGCTGCTGTGACAGGAGCTGGGTGGAGACATGAGCCGTGGGTTCTAGTCCTGGCTGTGGCACTTACTGGCTTTAGGCAAATTCTAATCCCTGTGGGTCCTGTTTCTGCACCTTTCCTGCTCGCCCCTCAGGAATGTCGCCAGCAAGACATAAATGGGAAACACGGGAGGTATTTGACCATCATGAATTATAACCCTCAGCCCCATGGCCCAAGGCTCACCTCTGCCTTCTGTCCGCCTCGAAAACTGATCCCATCAGAAATGCACGACTGGAATTCGGCAATGGTGTAGTACTCCACCTCAACAGAAGGGGGCTCTGGCGGCTTAGGCAGCTGGAACCCCTGAGGCAGAGAAGGACTCAAGTCAGCAAGACTCACCTGATCAGAACCGTAACTGAGGTGAGTGTGGCGGCTACACCAGGTGGAGAGCAGCTGACCTGAGGATGTATCAATCACCTGAGTCTCAGGGTGGCTCACCAAGAGACCACTCTCCTGACCAGGCTCTCTAAGAATACCTAGGATTCGCTTGAGACTTGTCTGAGCTATGAAAATGATCATCTAAGTAAATTTCCACCCTTACATCTTTGGAATCCAGTTTTCAGAAGCCTCAACAGCTAGGTCCCAAAACGAAAGTCAAAAAGCGGAGAAATTGTTGTAACAAAGCCCGTGCACACTGCCCCCCTGGGAGAGGAGAGCCATGTCCTTGAGTCTCAGGTGAAGGGCCACCGGGGTGACACCTGACTGCAGAGGTGGGGTGGGTGTAAGCGGGTGTGGGGTTGGTCAGAAAACCCCTTGGTCTGTCATCGTGATGATGCCAAATGGTTAGGCAAGCACGGAATAAACTCAGGATCCTTTGCTCTGGGGTTGGGTAGAGCACGCTGGGCAGCCTAAATGCTTCCTAGATGCTGGCACGTCGATAACTAAGCCTGACATGCAAGGAAATGTAGAATACGGCCACAGCCCATAAGCTGTGAGCCTCATTCATTCACTTGACAAATGTTTGTTGTGTGTCTACTGGGTGCCAGACTCTAGTCCAAGGCACCAGGCATCCAAGAGTGAACCAAAGGGACAGGACAACCCCCTTGCCCTCGTGGAGAGGACATTCCAGCTTCAGCCAGTCTCTACTCCAGCCAACATGGCCTTGGCGCCTCCCCATCACTCCCAGTATGGCCTGGTATCAAACAAAGGAGTTAAAATAAAACAATCTTATAAAAAAGGTACACGTGTTTGGGAGGCTAGAGGGGGGAAGCAGCTACAGTGTAGCAGGAAGACCTCAAAAGATCTCTGCCTGCAGGTGGACGCATGTGGGCTCCAATCCCAGCTCAGCAATTCACCAGTTGCGTGGCCCTGGGCAAGGCCCTTGCTCTCTCTGAGCCTCAGTTTCCTCATCTGTAAAATGGAACTAATAACAGGGCCATGAGATAATGAACATAACTTCTGGTCCAGCCAGCGGCACAGGAAAAGCTCTATAAACATAAGCTGAAGCCGAACGCTCTTCCTGAAACGCCATCCTATTCCTCTTACCCTGCCTCGTCCTTCAAGGCTCTGCATGTTCTAATCCTGCCAGTCACAGCTGAGCTGTCTCAGGTCAGAGTGAGTGAAGGGTGCGGGCGAGGCTGGTTTTGAGGGACCAGGTCAACTTTCCCTGCCCTGGTGGCTGGCTCTGCAGCCGTGCATGCGCACAGAGGTGGCCCAGGTCCCGGCCCTGCCTGGACCCCCGCGGCCAGGTGGGAGTCGGACGGACCTAGCCGGAAAGAGCAGCTCTGCCCTAGCAAGCCCTGCTTTTGGCAGGTGTGGAAAGAATTACCCCATTCTTGCCAAAATCAAGTCTGCCTGAAAATGATTAGCTGGGGCTGAGAGAGATGAGGGGAGGGGAGAACTCGTTCAGTTGTGTAAAATGGGAGGAGAAACAAGATAGAAAACTCCACTGGGGCTGATGGCCAGGGCCAGGACGGTCCCATCTCCAGGGGCCAAATCTTCAAAAATCCTGTTTAGGGAAGGCCAACTCTTCCAGTGACTGCCGCTGTCCGCCCCCCTGGGGCGGATGTCACTGACCACAGTAAATCTTGCGGCTAAGCGCAGCTGTGACTGCAGAATCCTTGTCCACACATAGTGCACAGAGAGCTGGCAGAGGAAGTGGAAAGTTGATGGCCAGCCCTCTGCACACACCATCTCATCCCATCCTTACAACAGCCCTAGGAGATGGCTGGCACTGTCCCCCTCTTATAAATAAGGAAACTGAGGCCTCTGGAGGGTAAGCAACCTGGCCAGGGGCTCGCTGTTTCTCAGGGTCAGAAACGGAGTATGAATCCATGCCTGGCAGGCCTGAAGCCCCATTCTTTGCACTGCATCCCACTGCCCCAGATGACAGTTCTTGGTTCTAGGGCTCTCGGTCTGCCACCTCTCACCCAAAGCCCCAGCACCCTGAGTGCACATCCACCTCCGTGGCAGTCTGGATGCCAGGAAACCTCACCTGGCGCCACAGACCCCCGCAGCACTGAGCCTCTTTGAGCTTCAGCATAAACCAGTCCCTGCCATTTACCACCCTCCTCCCCGGAGAAGATGCTCACTGGCCTGCCCTGTGCCCTCCCAGGTTCTGGCATCCACTGGGCACTCCCGGGCAAGGAAGGCAAAGCTGAAAGTCTTCCAGGCTCACATGGACAGCAGCCCTATTTCCCGCCCCTGGCAATGCCCCGGCTGGACACTCTCGCCAGCCAGTCTAAATGTTTATGTCTGCCAGTGCCGTGGCTGGGATGGATTTATTTAGCTTTAGAGTGCAGTGTGTTTTCGATTAAAAACTGTCCAGCTAGGCCCCAGGAAGGCTGGGTTCCCCAGGCTTCCCTCCCTGCCTCCAGCCCCACAAAGCTGGAAGCTCCAGCCTGGCCCTGGACCAACAGACTCTGCACTGAGACAGCCAATTACTGGGAGCTGCTACGGGGCACCCAGGAAAGGGAATGAGAAAGAGAGAAGAAACTGAGCACACATACCAAGCTGGACTCTCTGCGAGGTGGAGGCCTTGTCCTGAGGTTCGGGGAGCCTAGAAGAAGAAACAGGGCTTCAGAAATCACAGCCAGACACAGTGCCTTCCCTCCCTTCCCTGGATGTGATCTCCTGATGCTGGGAAGTTCCCGCTCTTTTCCCACACTTATGAGGAACCCATGCTCTCGGTCACCACAGGCATGAGAGCTGGGCTTCTTCAGTGGAAGTGAGAGATCTTTAAGCTTCCTTAGCTGTGTTTCAAGGGGATCCGTGAACCCCCTAAAATGATGTGCACAATTTCAAAAGGTACAGACATAGGGGCTTTTTTCAGGGGAAAGGGTAGATAGCTTTATCAGATTTCCAAATTTAGGAGAAGAGACCATGTCTGTTTTTTGCTCACTACCAAATCCTTGGAAGCTAGCACAGTGCTAGGCAAGAGGAAGTACCCCCAAAACGGCTCCCGACTGACTGCTCAGAAGGTTTCATGCATAAAGCTAATGTAACCAAGTTCAGAACTAAACTAAAAAACAGCTCTCCTCCAGATTTTAAGAATGGCTGGACATAAACAGAAGCTGGTCTCATAATACAGAACAGTTTAACCCTCAACCGCAGGCATCCTTGCCCCAGAGATGCTAGAGATCTGGAGGGGCCGGCAGCTGGGTTTCTCCTGTACGAAAGGAGGCGATTCCGGAAGGATGCTGCTTAAAAGTGCTTGTGGAGGGAGGTACAGTCACCCTTCCGAGTGTCTTAGATTTCCGGTAACTGGAGGAAGACGACAGGGAAGAAGGGGTAAGGCTCAGCAAGATGATCTACTGGCTGTCACTCACAGAGCAGCCTTGCATCGAGGGACCCATCTCACAGCCCAGGTGACTTATCTGCAGAGTGACCATTCGTGATGCTACCAGCTTACATAGGCATGCAATTTATCTTTGGTGGAGGAGCTGGAAGGAATTGCCTTGTCCATGCTTGTGATTAGCATAAGACAAGCTGGCAAAGCGAGCCTGGGGTCAGGGGTCAGCCTACATCTCAGGAACAGAATAATATGGGGATCATGCACACACCCCGCCCCCCCCTTAGGCTTTCCTTGCACCTCGCGCCCCTTCTCTGAAGAGCTGTGCGGCAAGGACCCGGGGACCAGCGAGGCTCTTACTGATCTGGGCCCTCTGAGGGGCGATCCTGGCCACGGCTGGGGAGCCCTGGGCCGGCTTGGAGGCGGTCCTCTCGGGGACACCCAGGGCGCTGCCGTTGGAAGCATTGCAGAGGATGGGCAGGCTGATCTCCTTCTTGGTGACGGGGGCCTCTGGGCCCTCGCCTTCAGCCGGGGTGGTCTCCTTGTCCCCGGACGCCTTTTTGTTCAGCAGGTTGCTGATCTCCATGATGTTCCCGATGATCTCCACCGGGCCTGCCAGATTCTTCTTCCGCGCTGGCAGGTCATCCTTGGCTTTCTTCAGGTAGGATGCTGGTGCCCAGCCCTCTTTGCCCAGGTATCTGCAGGGAGGAGTGGGACATGGCATCATGAGGGCACCCTGTCCAGGCCCCAGTCTCCATCGGGCCTTGCCCAGCTGAGCTTTCTCTGCTGCGCTCTGTAAGACACTTGGCAAAGCCACTACTCTGGAGAGAACTGGAACGAGGGCCAGTGGAAAGACATCGGGAACACCACTTCTTCCTCTCTGTCTCCTAGTTCTTTGCCTGATCCCTCTTGGTGCGGGCTCTCATTCTTTGCAACGTCAGGCAAACGTGGGACATTGAGATGAGAAGATTCCTCAGATTTGGGGTTGCCTAAAAGGTAGACTTTGCAATGGCCTACAAGCTCACCACAGCAGAGGGCAATTCTAGAGATAAGAAATGAGAAGGTGTATAGAGTTAAATGCCCACTCAGAAAGGGAAGTATGATCAGAGAGGTGAAGAGGCAGCATAGGTGAGAGTTAGGAAACCCGAGTTCTGGCCTATGGTACTTCGGACAAGTCCCTACCCTGGAGTTCAATATTTTCTCTTCTGCAAAATGCTGGGATAGAGTAGCTGTAAACATTTATCCAGAAGGATAGACATATTGAGGCCAACTAGGAAGACGTGTATAAAGAGTGAGTGACCAAGTGGGAGAAGTATCGGCACCACTGCAGGAGGAGCAGACGGATCAAGTTCACAGAACAAGTCCACAGACGGACCAACGCTAAAGGTGACGTTTCAAAGCAGTGGGGTAAGAATGGATTATTCAGTGAGTGATCTGGGGATGACTGATGATCCAGTTAGGAAAAACAAGTGAGACTCTGGCCTTACAACCGTATAGCAAACTTAAAAATGCAAGTCGTGAATATTTGCTTAATCTTGGGGGCTGAGAAAATCTTTCTAAGTGGAACTCCAAAAGCAGAAACCATAAATGAAATGACTAAATAAAGCACATGACTGGATAAAATTAAAGCCTTTGGTATGGCAAAACAGAAACAAAATGAAACAAAACAAAACGAAACAAAACCCAAAACCCGTAAACAGAGCAAAAGGCAAATGACAGGGCTGACTTAATTTCAGGGGATTTGCTGACTTCTGAAAACAAGTTTTTCCCTTTTTCCCTCATGGTGTTGAGCTCCTACCCAAACCCACTGAGAACTTACTTCCTGGTCCAGCAATTCCTGGCCAATGCCCTGCAGTCTGGGGTGCAATTTCCCCGCCTGCTCCCTGGGACACATCTGGCTCCCTGGAATGGCTCCTCCATGCCAGATGTCTGATAATCCCCGGCCCCCCTGCCTCCCTGATCTGACCTTGTTCTTGGGGGCTCATTAGGTAGGAGGAAAGGAAATGTGAAAGTTCAAGTTTCTAACGTGTTTGAGCTTTGCTGGCAAGTTCAGGTAGGAGGTGGCTTCCTATGTTCACGTCACGTGACTGTGCAGGCAGGCTGACCCAAGCTCAGCCGTCTATCCCCGTTTTGGGGCTTGGAAGGCAGACATCAGTGAACAAACGGATGGAAGTCAGGGAGCTGGCAGACAGAAGCACAGAATTTCAGGGCTGGATGGAAGCAACTAGTAAAGATACCTAATCTTACATATACCGACAACCAAGGCTCAGAAAAGCAAAGCAAGTAGCAGAGGGTCACACGGCTAGCTTTTGGCAGCATCTGGCCCAGAACTTGGTGCCCTTCATCTTGTAAGAAAGATGAGGAACCTGCCAGCCACTGGGGGCACCTGTGCGGAGATGGGGCGCGAGGTCTCCTGGGAGTGATGGTCAGGACTGTGCACTGTCCTGAGGGCTCCCATTCTAAACCCTGATGTGCTCCTTCCGTGTTACATGGATAAAATTAGATTCCAGGCAGGGAGATGCAAGTGAATCAGGAGAGGCTGTGTGTGTTTGGGTCCAACTCTGCTCACATCTGCTTTCCAGCTCTGGAGCACGGAATGACTCCAGAGGGAAGCAAACTGGAAAAGGAGGATGGGGAGAGAGGGAGGGCGCGCACGCGCGCGTGCGCGCGCGTGTGTGTGTGTGTGTGTGTGTGTTTGGCGGGGGGGGGGGGGGGGGGGGGGGGGGGGGGGGTGTGGGTGGAGAAGAAAGACAGGAAGTAAGGATCAACACAGAGCCTGGGATGCTGGGAAAAGGCATATTTAAGGGGGTGTCTGGCAGCCTTCTTAAGGTGGAACCTTTTCAGCAGGGTTTTCTCGGTTGCAGCTCCCACTGGCTGAATGGCCAGGCCATGGGGACAAGAGCTGACTAGATGGAACCAACTCAGAGTGATTTTATTGGTTATTTTAGAAAACTAAAACACCCAGCAGCCTTGTAGAAAACCTCTGGGTGAGTGGTTTAGGTTAGCAGCCTGCCAGAATGTTCACTGGCCTTCCCACGCAGACTCGTGGTGGCTGGATTGTGGGCTTGGCTCTAGTTTCCATTGTTTAGAGAACATCAAAGCCTAGGGGTAGTGGATTTGGGCAAACACGCCCAGGCACACACAGTCCTGTCCCACCTAACGGGACAGAAAGGGACACCTCAGCCCGCTGACTGGTGTGCACAGGGCCGGGGGCAGGGGCGCTATGTCCTGGCAGGTCACTCTAAGGTTCAATCCCATGTGGCCAACGACCTTCATCCTACCCGTCAGCACAGACCAATCTGAACACCTTGCGGCATGCTGTGTTCTGAGCAACTGTCTTGTGAGTGCCCCCGCCGCCTCGGCCATCTGTGCCCTCGGTGGGGGACAGCTCAGAACACACATCCTACCCACAGTGGGTCTGGGGTTCCCAGGTGTGGTGGGTTGGAGAGGCGGTCCCCAGAGCCCATGACGGGGACTCCCTCTGTCATCCGGCTTACAGGCAGAGAAGAGAAACTGGGTAAAATCATCACAGCGGAGCTGCTTCTAAAGGACCCAGGAACACTTCCTGGAAACAAGCCCCTCCTTGTGGGGGGTGCTAGCTGGCCTGGGAGCCCCAGGGCAGAGGGGCCTGGGGGGCAGGACCTGGTAGGGGAGAGGTGAGTGAAACCCACAGGGTTTAGTTTGCTTCCAGGAGTGTCAGGAAGCTGCCCACTCCCCTACTCACACCCCCGAATGGGTTTCTCAGCTGGGAAGTGTGATTAGGCCCAAGGAGAGTGAAGGGCAGAGCAAGAGGCCTCTGAACGAGGCCTGTGCTCAGGCCTCACTTCCGCCCCAGCTCTCTCAACCACGGAAGCCAGCCCTGCGGAGCGGAACAGCCCGGGCCCGAGCCTGCATCTGTGGGCAGCAGGGGCTGCCTGCTGGGACCTCGGCAACGCCCGTGGACGCCAGCACTGCAGGCGGCCTGAGCTGCAGAGCACGCCAAGCAGCCAAGGTCGGACACAGAAAACCAAATTCAGATGTGCTGGACCCTCTTGGCGGCTGCATGGGAAGGGATTGCACCACTGCCTGCAAGCCGAGCCGGGGCCCCTGTGCCCCGCTGGCTGTGGCTCAGGCTCCGCTTTGTGTCCCGGGAGGGTATGTGCAAGATGAGCACTCTCTGTTACGGCCACTCAGCCTCGCGGTACTGAAGCAGTCAAGCCAGGCTGTGGGTGCAAAGCTGCTGTCAGGATTTACCTGCCAGCTGGTGCCCTCAGCCACTCTGCTGCCCAGGGCCAGCCTGGGGGCCAGGGTGGCAGAGAGGCACCTTGCTCCTCTGCTGGGGCTCTTACCTGATGTACCACCAGCCCTCCAGATTCTTCCGGATCACCTCCACGGTGACGCCCTTCTCAAAGCCAATCTCGTCCTTGCTTTGGCTGGTGTAAGGCTGCACAGTGACATACTTCTCCTCTGTGGGTGGTGGGTGAAGCAAGAAAGCACAACTATTTGAGGATGGGGTACAGGTCCTTTGTCCGGCCTCCTTCTCCCCCTGGCCTGGCCTCACTTAGTTGGTGGCCAAGGTGTACTGCATCAACCTCTGGCTTTTCCAGGAAAGGGAAGAGAAGGGATCAGGCCTCACAGCTGTGCCCTGCATGTGCCAAAGCTGGCCAGGGCCCCAGGTGGCCTTGCAAGCCCCAGCATAGAGCTGGCTCTCCCAGCCTCCCAGTCCCATAACTGCAGACAGGCTGCCGGGGCCTGGAGTCCTCAGGGTCCCAGAAACTCCCTGGGCTGAGGGCAGGGCCATGAGGAACCTGGCTCTCCTGGGGCCCGAGTCAGGGAGTCTGAGAACAAACCCAGGTGTCCCCTCAATGCCTGGAGGCCTCAAGGCAAGCCCTCTCCTTCCTGAACATGCCATGCGTCCATCTATGCCCCAGACCTGCTCTCTCAGCCTGTCTCCCACCTCAAACCCTTAAACCCCTCCTCTGCCCAACCTTCTGACAGCTCCAGGGACACCTCAGCCTCCCCTGACCACTCATCTGATCGCCTGATCACATAACTTCCCCGAGAGGATGCTATGGGCATGGTTATGTGCCCTGTTAAGGGTCCAGGGGCAAAACAGTGCGGCACAATCAGGCGGGAGCCCTGGGGGGGCTGAGTTGACCACACAGCTCGGTGGAGCCCCTCTGGGAGCTGCCTGCTCTGGTCTCACAGTAGGATTGCATGCCCTCTTCTGGGCTCCCCAGGCACTGGGAGAGAGGCACCGTGGGGGAGCTGAACAGGAGCGTGGGGGGCAAGTGTGGGGAGGCTGGGAAGTTTGTGTCTTCCTGGATTCCTTGGGCCTCTCTCCTGGCAGGGACCCTGTGCCTCCACGGGAGTCCCTGCTCAGGCCTCCTGTCTGCTGGGGACCAGCAGACCCACAGCTGGCCGGCCACAGACACCCTGCCTCCTGGGAGGAGAGTCTCCCCAGAGGAATGGCTTGGGGAGGAACACCCAGCCCCATCCATCCCCTCAGCAGAGGATGGGCGGCAGAGATTGGCGCACCCTCTGGGAGGGTCACCCTGAACCTGTGCTGTCCTCTCCGACCTGGATTCTCCCTGGGGGCTGAGACAGTGCCTGGCACACAGGAGGCGCTGCAAAGGGACTATGGAGTACATTGATGAGGACAAAGGTGTGTTGAGCCGGGGCACCGAGTGGGAGACTCTCTGAGCTCAAAATAGCAGGCTGCTGGCACAGAACAGCTGGCTCGGAGACGGGCACTCCCCACCCCCTCAGCTGGACCCTGCCCGGCAGCCTGCCCGAGCCTCTGGCAGTAGTGGGGGAGAGGGCAGCTGCCACCCTAAGCCCCTGCTCAGGAGGGCCATCTGTTCATTCTTCCCTAGATTATCAGGGTCCCGTCTGCGGCCCTTTGCCGGGCGGAGATAGCAGCTCCCTCTGGGATGGAGGCAGCTGCCCTGCCAGGCCGCAAGGACAGAGCTGGCAGGCCGCTGGCCGAATCTGAAAGGCTGCCAAAGGGCAAAAGGTAGGTGATGCCCCACGGGAGCCTCCACAGCTCAGCACGCTCTGCTCAAATGCAAGCCTTTCTCGGCGTCAACTCGCTCCTGGAAGCTTTCAGATTCCAATCCAGCCATGCTGGGGCGAGCCGCCAAGACCGCCTGAGAACCTGGCCCTGCCAGATTCTGACTCGGGCCTTTGAGAAGGTCCGTGTTTTATAGTCCAGCCCCCTGCGCTCCCGCCTATTCCTGGTCTCGCTCCATTTTCCAGTGGGACACCGTAAATCCTGGCCCGGGCGGTGGCCGGAGCGGCAGCGCCGGGCCCCAGGGCCCCAGGGTTCTGAGGCTCGGGTGAGCCGAGGCCTGGGCTCCACATTTTGCCTTTGCTCAGTTGGGCTATTTTTAAAAGCCTGTGGTTCGTGCAGGAAGCCATCATTAAAGTTTCCCTAGGCAAAGTCACTTTTGCAGAGAAAAATTACAGCCTATCTCTTGGGCAGATCAGAGGAGCCCTTCTCTGCCCCACGGCAGAGGACAGGGCCTAGACTGCTTCATGGGGGCCCGGCCCCAGCACCAGCTTCCCCAGTCCCCAGTGTGTGTGCTGAGGACAGAGCCCCGAGGGCCATGTAAGCATCCTGCTTTCCCCTGCCCCTCCTGGTGGGCAGAACCAGGGGCGTCCGTCTTACTCAGGAAAGCTGAGCTGCTCCTGCACAAAGCCCTCTTCATGGTGGCCCTGGGGCTGATGGGAACACAGACGTCTGGGAGTTTACGCTCCCAGGAAGAGAGCTGGCTGGCTTGGAGGCTCGTCCTACCCTGGCACTGTAGCTTCCAGGAGGTGAGAATTCAGAGCCCTGGTCCCAGGCAGGGCAACTCCTCCAATTGGTCTGTTTGGGGGCTCGGTTTTCCGCCACGTTTGGCTTGGATGACGAAGGTGTGGGTTACCTCTGTGTGGCCGCGTGCCCTGTGGGTCTCAGCTCCCTCCTCACAGGTTTCCCTGGGGGAAAGCAGAGGCAGTCCCTCCACTGAACAGGGGCCACAAACCCCACCTTAGGGGGCCAGACAGGAGGACGCCCAGACTGAAAGAAATGACCTTGGTGCGGGGGAGGGAGCTGAGTCATTTGCGTTGCTTGGGGTCTCTAGAAGAGATGCCCCTTAGGAATCAAGTTGAGGGAAGAGGCCTAGGAGCTCTGGGGGGCACCTCTGGGCTTCTGGGAGGCGCTGATGCCATGGTCACTCCGATATACCCTTGGAGGATGGTTGCCACCTCACCCCAGGGAGGGCTGGCCAGGCCGCCCACGGGGTGGGTAGGTGGCCGGGCCTGTTCTGGTTTTGGAAGCAGGGGCTGGAGAGCCCTGCAGTTTCCAAACCACAGACGCCTCCCCTTTCCAAACACTTTCCCCTCCGTCAGCAGTCTCCCTGGCTCCCCTCCCAGTCCCTACAACTTACCCAACCCCGATGCAAGAGGCTTTTTGATTCCAGAGGCCTGGTTGGCTCTGGGACTGGGGGAGTGGAGGCCCCAGGGAAGCACTGCTTTTCTCTTGTCTAGTTATATACGACCCACTGCCTGTTCCCCCCTCGTCAGCTCGGCTGTTTGCAGCGAAGTTTCTCCCAGCCAACTTCCTGCAAGTTTTTCTTGGCTGCCTGATTTAACTTAGCCCTAATTTAACTTAGGGCTAAGACTGGGAAATGATGCTGTTTAGGTCTCTTATTCAAGAGAGAGACGTCGTGGGCCTGCATTTGCTCACATATTTACATACGTGTGGCTGGCCACAGAATTATGCATTTAGTTGGTGTCTACTTACATCATGTTACGTTTAGAATTGTAAATACTGTTGCCGATATACACGTGGCGCATACGAAGCTATGCGTGTACTTGGGGGGAGGCTGCAGAGGTGTACCTACGATGTGGCTGTGTGGATAATGCATCTGTGACTGTGTAAATAGTGCAGACGTGGAATGGTCTACGTGAGGGTGCATAAGTGTATACTGTGAGTGGCTGTGTGCACGGGACCGCAGACGTGCGGCTGTGTAGGGCCTGGATGGGACAGTGTACTGTGGCCACGCCCGTGGCTCTCGGGGTTGTGTGCCGGCGGTCATGCTTCACCGATTGAAGCGTCCGAGAGGCCATGTGGTTGTGGAGACAGAGGTGTGTTTGGGGTTCAGTGTGTGATGGTGTTTGGAGCAGATGTGGGAGGGGATGGGGACAGGCCAAACCTTCCACCCTGCTCTTTTTCCAGGCCAGTGTCCCACTGTCCTTTGCTGCCAAGGCTCAGGGCTGCGTCCCCGCCTGGCCCCCCAGCTGTGCTGCCTCACCCATCCTACCTCTAGGGTGCCTTTGCTTCACATTCAGCCTGTTCTCTCTGCTTCCACGACTTGGCCCCCTGTCCTGCGCCAGCACCCAGGGTCCAACCCACACTCCACCCTCGGGACAAGCCGGGCCCCTCGCAGCCAATGCTCTGAGGCCGATGCTGAGCCAGCCACGGGCGCTGGCCACCCGAGTCCAGGCTTGCTGCTGCCTGGGGCTTGGGGCAGACACCAAAACAGGGTGTCCCAGTCGTTCAGTAACAAGCTTTGGGGGTAGGGTGCGAGTCATGGGGCATCCCTGCTAATTCTGGAAAAGCCAATGCTTATGACACCCTTCTGGCTATGCCGTCACTGTCCGGAACACATACCCTCCACTCTCCTTGAGGCAGGAGAAATGGGCCACCCACTGGCCTTGGGGCTCTGGAGGTGTTTAGAGGTTTGTTCAGAGGCCTGCCCCTAATTTCCCTGCCTCACAAGCTCTTGGATGTTGGAAAGGCCCTGGACTGGCAAACGTCTTGGTTCCTAATCAGTGTGTATGGCAGGCCAGGGGCTTCCCTGGAAGAGTCTTGATCAGGCTCAAATCCCAACAGCTAGTGCTGGGGCTGCTGGAGCCCCCAGCTGGACCTGACCCCACCATCAGAACTTGTTGAGGCTGTGCCCTGGGGCCTGGCTGTGTCTGGATTTTGCTCCTTCTCTAGTTTCCCTGGAGCTGGCTGAATGAGGAGATTGTGAGCTGCTCCTTCTTCCTACTCTGTCCCTAAGTAATTGCTAGAATAGCTCTGGCCAAGGGAACCCTTTCTCAGAGGAGGGAGGCAATGAAGGGCAGGGGTGAGGGGACGGCCCAGGCAGAGACCAAAACACGCTCAGTTCTCTCAATCTGAAGCTTCAGGGTAAATGTGGCCTTTCTTAGAGTCCAGCTGCCCCCATAATCCTGTCCTAAGTCCCATGACCCCTGCCCCCAGGACGCTGGCCAAAGACAGAGCTGCCCCCATTGTCACCCCGATTCCCAAGCGGCCCCTGCGCCCCCCTCCCGCCTCCCCCCCCCCACCACCAGCTAGAGTAGGTGAGAGGAAAGTCTGTCTGGTGAATCTGGGTAAGGAGGCCACAGGGCAAAGAGAGGCAGAGCCCAGGAAAGAGGAGAAGTGTTAGTGAAAGAAAGAGAGGCAGCAGCTCTCGGTAAGGAGAAGCTGGCCCCCATCGTCACCTCGGCTGTGCTGCCTGTTGACCATCCCGCCCAGGGTCCACCGGCGATCCAGGCGCCGCAGATGGGCCTTGCGTCTCTTGGACACTGGTGTGGGAGATGGCGATGGAACACGCGGCCGACGGGAACCGGCGGAGAGAATGGACATGAGGATGAGATGGGATGGGTGGGGAAGGGATGGAGGGAGGGAAGGTTGGCATCCCCAGGTCTTCACCGCCTGGACTGAGCCCCGGTGGCACATGCCTGCTGCAGGGGCGCGGATCTGACCAGTGGCGGCGCCGGCAGGTGGGGAATAACTCAACCAAAGCCAAATTGCATGGGTTATGCCCCCGAGCCTGGGAGGGGCTAGGAATTTAGAATCCCAGCACCTGAGAGGGGAGGAGGAGCCCTGGCTCCAGCCCAGTGCAAGGATGCCCCTTGGTTGCGGCCCTAGGGGGAGGACATGGCTCCCACCATTGCTGGGCAGTGATGGTTCCCAGGAGGGTGTGCCCCACTCTCCACCAGGGCTCACATCCACCTGTTCCCCTGCCCCCACTGACTCAGCAAGTCCTGCTTGTGAACCTGCCACCACGAGCCAGGCACTGCAGGTGGAAGAATAAATGTGCCCAGCAGAGACTTGGGGTCTCTTCCTTGGGGGGCTTATAACTCTCACCATCCTGGGTTGGTTTATGTCTTTGCTTTTTCAGTCACCCCCAATGGATCAAGTCTGTTGAGGGCTAAAACTCTGCATCTCTGCGTCCCCAGGGCCTGGCACGGGGCCTGGCACGGGGCCGATCCTTCAGAAATGTTGCCGAGTGAAGCACACACAGTAGGATGCCACAGGCCTTGTTCTGTTCCTTCCCCACATGCTACCCACTGGATTTCTGACAACAGAGGACCTGCCTCCCAGCTTTTCACTGCTCCACACTCCTTTCATCTGCACAGGTCCTCTGGTTGCTATGGACCAGCTCCACATGCCCCCCACCTTCCTATGGGACGCCCAGGTGCATCAGGGGCCCCCACCTCCTGGCACTGCAGAAGGAGGGTACCAGGCTGCCCAGGTCTGGGGGAGGAGGCCAGCACTTAAGAGTCAAACTGTCCAGACACAACTGAGCCACATCCTACCAGGACCTCCTGGGCAGTACTTATTTTTCCAGAGGGAGAAGAGTAGCCTGTTTGACCTGCTTCTTGTAAGCAGGAGGCCTGGACAAAGGGTTAGGGGTATGGGTTCAATCCAGGCTGCACTGCCAGGTTACTGTGTCACCCTGGCAGGCTGCCATCCCTCCCTAAACCTCTGTTTCCTCATCTGTCTTTGGGGTTGACACCACCTGCCCTGGCGTGAAATAAGACAGGGACTGGACGGGCTCTGTAGAATGGAGATGAGGTCCTGTGTGAGGTCAGACCGGGAGGAACCTGGACAGCTGACCTCCTGGGGGTGTGTCCACCTGGTTTCTCTGTGGCCAGAGGAGCTTCACTTCAGCTGATGCCCAGCCTGGGGCCACCCTAGCAGTAAGTGACATTTACCCGGTTTAAACCAGGTACCAAGACCATCTCACTGGAGCCTCACAAAAGCCCCACGTAGCTGGCACTCTCCCCATTCTAGAAATGGGAGGCCAGAGGCACAGGGATGTTCAGGAACCCTCTGAGTCACACACCTGAGCGTCAAGGCGGCACGCAAACCCACGCAGTCTGGCTCTGGAGCCTGGACTCTAGACCCTGCGCCTTTTAGGCACCAACAGTGGAGAATGCCTGGACCCTGGGGCCAATGCCAGCCCAGGGAGAAAGGCAGGTCATTGCTGGTGGCTGCAGGGCGCAGGCAGAGACCCAGGTTCGGGGCTTGGCTCTGCCACTAACTGATCCTCCAGGCCTCCGCTTCCTCACCTGAGGCGATGTGCCTCACGGAAGCACCCTGCCAACGTTGGGCCTGGGCCCTTCTCATCAGCGGTGGACAGGAGGGTCTCAGCCCCCACCTCGGCCCTCCTGCCCCCACTGAAACGCTTCTGCGTTCTCCACAGCACACCTGGCTTCAGGAGAAACACGAACATGTACCAGAACATCTGCTGACAGAAATAAACCGAAACAGCCTCTTTTCTTTCTGAAGCAATGGAGCATGAGCTGTTAGGGAAGCTCTGACGGGACGAAGGCTTCCAATTTCTGCCTGTAGAGCTCAGGGGACCTACAATGGGATGGCAACAGGGCTGGAGTAGAGATGGCCAGAGACGGGACCAGGGTGGGCTGATCTCTTAGCCACATGGCTGCCAGTGCAGCGACCGGCGGACACACCACAGCTGTTGGGCCTTGGGCTGGGGTACTGAGTCCTGAGTCCTTCCGTACAGCTGTGGGGAGATGCCCACGATGTGATGATGGAACTCACAGCTGCCCAAATGTTGCCAGGGGTGCTGGCACACAGGTCCTATCAAAGTGTGCAGAGGAACCGATCATCAGGAGGTTCACCCTGAGCACACACGCGCACGCGCACATACGCCCCCGCCCCCGCTTGAAGGCGGAACCTCCACTGGCTGCCTGGTTCTTCCTCCATCGAGGTCAAACTTCTCTATAACCTGTTACTGCTTGTTCTGTGCAAAGCACCCAATCTCTCTTCAAACCAGCCTGGCGGCGTCACTGCCCACGCACCTCTCAGGCTCCTTCCTACCCACTTGGTGTCCTGGTCCTCCAGCATCTACCTGACGTCTCCACTCTGACTCTCTTGGCGTCATCTTTTCAGGTGGGGCTCCAATTCCACACACACAGACACACATACACCCTCCTAGAATTGCTCACGAGAAAATGCTTCACGGAGGCGCATGTGGCACGGTGGGAAGACCACTGGCGGAGGAGGCTGACCAGGGCTCAAGCCTTATGAGGACAAATACATATCTGCATCTGGAAAATGGAGATGGTGACAGAGCCTTCCCAGGGTGGTGAGGGCATTTCAAGTACCAGGGCAGACACCTAGGAGTGAGTGAGACCTCAGTACACTCTAGGGATTGTTATTTCTGAAAAGCCCTGGGATACCCCCCAGAATGTGGAACTGGATAGGAGGTGAGGCCTGGTGACTGCAGGCAAAACAGACCGGACCCAGCTCAGGGGCTACGACCCTGCACCGCTGCAGAGGTGCGAGGGAACCAGAGATGAGATGGGGGACAGGCTCAGCCCCTGGGCTCGGGGAGCAGCCAGGAAAGGCCAAGTACCTGGCCTGAACATGCCAGCCCTTCTCAATGGGGCCTGGTCTCTGGAAACCTGTCACAAGGCAGACATGCACTGCAGGGGCTGCAGTACTGGTCAAGGGACTGAAATACAGCATTTACATGGGAGGAAGGGCGGGGCTCCGACTGCCTGCCCAGTAACCGGCCTTTGGGGGAAGGATGAAGACGGAGCTGGCGCTTTGGCAGGCTGCTTGTTCTGGCCTGGGCAGTGTGGAATGGGGGGTGGGGCAGGGGCAGGCCTGGAGGCGGCCTGAGCCCCGGGTGGCAGGCACGCATTCCCCTGGCTCTCAGATGTGCCCATTTGGACGGTCCCCACTGACCGTTAGGGCAAGCGTTCCTGCTGCCAGAATAAGGGAGGCTTGGAAGTGACTAGGAGCAGGCAGCCGGGAACAGGGTGGCTCAGACTCGCTGGGCTCTGGCAGCCCGCTCTGGGGAATACCCAAGTCCACGGATACGCTGGGCAGGCCAGTGCTGGCTGGGGTTGGGAGGAGGGGCAGGCTCCTTGAAATGCATTGGAGAAAACCCCAGAAAAACCTCACCAAGTCAGAGCTAATGAGAGAGGCTGACGGTACAGGGGCTGGAGCCATCCCTGGGTTCCTGCAACACTGAGAAATGATTCACAGACCTGCCCTCCACATCTGCACCCCTGACCGGGATAACAGGCACCTGGAAGAGAGGCCTCTGAACAGACTGTGCACGGCAGGAAGTTGTGTGCACACAGTCCCTTTGGGGTCGTCCCTGTCGCAGAGAGCACAGTGTGGGGTGAGGGGGGCAAAGGTGGATCTCTCTGGGGACCCCCAGAGGAAGCCAAGCCTGCTGGTGGGGAGAGGGACCAGCCCTAAGACCGTTCTCCCCAATCTCTGCCCCAAAGTTGCCAAAGCCTGAGATCCACACCCCACGGGAATCTCCCCTCTAATTTTAGCCCCATGTGGGACCAGTAAGGACAGACCTGGCATAGGAGGTGAGCTTGTGGGTTGGCCTCAGTGACATGGGATCCTGGGAGAAGCAGGGGGGGAAACATGATCCATATCGTTTTAGAGCTTCTGATGGTTTTAGGGAGAAGGGTGGGAAAGCTGCATCATCTCCCCGACCCCTTGAACCCGTAGGAGCTTACCTTCCCCAGTCTTGGAGGTGTTGATATCTGAGTCGTCCCGAGTACCATTCTGGGCCTCCAGGTAGGTGGCAGGGACCCAGCCCTGTTCCTCAGAGGTGCTCACGAACCACCAGCCTGCAGTGGGGACAGGAGAGCAGCCATGAGAGCCCAGCAGATGGCAGAGGTGGATGGGGCCAGGACGAGGAGGGAAGGAGCAGCGTGGAGGGTAGGGCGCAGAGCCACACGGCCTGGGTGCCTGGCAAGCGTCTTGCCCACATCCAGGCTCCTCGCTGAGAAAGAAGAAACCAACACGCTCCCTGAGAAGAGGGCCTGATGGATCACAATCCACGCACACAGACATTTGATGACAAAAAAAACGGAAAATGAAATCGACACAATGATATGCCCGACACGTGAAAGTTACCTTGCAGGAAAGGTCAAGGGAGCTCTGACCAAACACAGAGATGGTGTAGGGTCTTTCAAGCCCACTAGGACCACCGGTGTGACCTGGAGTTGGACCACTTTCTCTGCTTTTAAAGGCACTGGGGGGTAAAGGCCTCACAGATACGTTCTAATGGTCACTGCTCCTGCTTCCCACCTCTGGTCAGTGGTATTTTCACATCAGTGCTACTCACAGCTGCCCTTTGGTATGTTGACAACTCAATCACAGTAAGTGGGCACTGCACCCTTGAGTGACCCTTGAGGGTTGTGGCCAAGTGATAACGCCTCATTCATTTTCTTTCCCCTTTGCTGGCTCGTTCATTCATCATTCAAACAAACGCTGAGCAAAGTACTCCAAACTTGGTGGCTCCAGTTCTCTTTTCTGTCCATGACAGAGCTCAGCATTTCCAAACCTGGACTGTAGCCTGTCAGGAGACCCCAGGGTTCCTCCCTGGCCAGCACTGAGGCCCCATCACCACGTGGCCACAGCAGTGAGTGGCTGCCCGAGGAGGGGCACAAGGGGACCTCCAGGTGCTCCCAGCTGGGCTTAGCCCTGGGAGGTGGTGGAGGCTGCCTGGGGGCTGCTGTGACAGCAATGGAGAGGGACGGAGGACAAAAGTCCCACCACTGCACAGGACCTCCGCACCCAGGGTCGGCACCTAGGTCTTCAACTTCTGATGCCCCACGTCACAGGCCTGGGAGAGCAAACAGCCTGTGGTCTAGTCTTTTTTTTTTTTGCGGTACGCGGGCCTCTCACTGTTGTGGCCTCTCCCCTTGTGGAGCACAGGCTCCGGACGCGCAGGCTCAGCGGCCGTGGCTCACGGGCCCAGCCACTCCACGGCACGCGGGATCTTCCCGGACCGGGGCACGAACCCGTGTCCCCTGCATCGGCAGGCGGACTCTCAACCACTGCGGCACCAGGGAAGCCCTATGGTCTAGTCTTGAATGCCCACTGCACCCCACCCTTTCCAGGAAGTTCCACAACACTCTGCGAGTAGCTCTGCAAAACCTATGAAACAGCATGACAGCTGTGCGATACCATCACGTTGGATACATGTCCTTATACGTTTGTCCACACCCACAGAACGTTTAGCACCAAGAGCGAACCCTAATGTAAACTAGGGACTCTGGGTGACTAGGATGTGTCAATGCAGGTTCATCAGTTGTAACAAATGCACCGCTCTGGTGCAGGGGGTTGAGGATGGGGCAGGCTGTGCGTGCGTGGGGGCAGGTGTATATGAGACACCTCGGTACCTTCCACTCAATTTTCCTGGGAACTTAAACTGCTCTAAAAAAACCGAAGTCTTCAAAAAAAAAAGTTAAAGAGAAAGTCTCAGACAACAGTCTGGACTTCTGTGGTCCAGCCCTTAGCTGGGTCACTGCCCCTACGGAACCTGGGATAGATGCCTTCTTTCCCTCCCTCTGCCAGATTCAGGTCAATTCCCTTGTCCTTCCCCCAAGTGGGATGGGTGTGGGCCACCTTCACAACACCCACGGCCACGTGCACCCTCTGGGCCTACCTGCCTGGGGCAGCACCACCATCCTCCATGACGCCCAGGCCACAGCGGCACAGCTGCTCAGGACGCTGTGGCTGAGAGACTCCAAAGAAGCCAGAGGGGTCTCTGCCTGGGATGCCTTCTCCCCTTCTCGCAGGCTCTGGGGGAACGCTCTCAGGAACCCCAACAGTCTGTGCCAAGAGGCCCCGGGCCCAGTGTTCTTCCACAGAGCCCGACTGGAGGTCACGGGACAGAGCTCCCGACCTCGTAGAGGCTCCTGCCCTGCGGCCCTGCCTCCTAGGCCACAGGAGTCGTTCTGACTGGTCTGCCACTTCCCCGGACACTGTAATGGTTCAGGGGCTTTTCCAGGAACTGACATGGGTGCTCTGGCGACCTGAACCCTAAATCCCACGTTAACCAGGAATCGCAGGGGTGTGTGGGAAGAGACGTCCTGAGAGTTGAGTCAATAAAACAAAGTCAGGAGATGGAGAAAGTCAGTCTTGACCATCACTTGACCCTGGGACGCAGGTGTGCTAAAGCTAGACTGCCCTGTTGGACTTGCTAATTGCAGTGAGCCAGTGACCTTCCTGGGCTGTTCACCTGAGCCAGAGCGGGTTTCACTCTCTCACTAATGCCACCCGTACCCAGCAAGGTTCATAATCGAAGGTCCACCATCATGAGTCAAGTCTGGAGAACAAAACCCAAGCCCACTGGGCACCTGCCACCACAGATTTCGGCATGTAAGGATGAAGCCCTCTGAGCCACTCTGGGATAGCGGTCCCTCCCCGACCTCCCGCTCACAGGATAAGCTCCAAGAGCCCCAAAGAGCAGGCACCACAATTCCCAACTTGGAGTCACTTTTGGGAGGGTCTGGAAGGCTGAGGCTCTCAGATGCCTGCCCAGGTTCAGGTCCCAATGCCAAAAGCTCAAAGGTTTTGGTTACCACACCCTCCAGACCCTCCCCAAACTGTGTCCGGGGAGATGAAAGACCAGTTCCAGCCTCCAAAGCCAAGCCAAGTCCCAGTAGGCCAAGGAAGTGCCCCTGAAGGCCTAGTCTCAAAGGGAAGCTCTTCTTCCCAGGAGAGGGTTTCCCCAGGATGGGCCCAGGCTGGGGCCAGGGACCTTACCGTCATCAGACAGAACAGGGATGTGCCTGGAGAAACAGCGGAGCTTGGATGCATGTGTCTCGTGGAGGATTTGCCAAGATCTCTCCCATGCCCAGCCCCTCTCAGCCTCTCTTTCTACACCAAGGTGTGTCCACCGCCAACTCCACCCTCTGAAACAACCTACTTGCTGTCTCAGTGGGAGCACAGTCTTTCCTTTCCTTGTGTGACCCCATGGTTTCCCAGGAAAGAAGGCGACTTGGTGATCTCCTGGATGGCTGGGCTGACTGTCTCCTAAGCCCTCTCTCTACTTCTGGAATCTGGGCTCCAAAGTCATCCTCAGCAGAGGTGAAGGAGGCAAGCCCCTCCATGGGTACCAGGAGGGCTTGCAGGGGATTTCTCCATCAGTCCCATCCAAGCTTGTCTGTGTCCTCACATGTGTGAAGCAAGCCCACCAGCCTGCTGACCTCTTGCTGTCCCCTCTCCTGACCTCTTCCCATGGCCATCTCCAGACCAGGGCCCTGCATGGACCTTTCTCCTTGGCTCCAAGGGCCTCATAATCCCAGGATTTAGGGCTCTTTTCTGCTGGTGGCATCGTTTCCCCTCCCTCCTAACTTCACCCTTTGGGAACCTTCCATGTACTTTCTGCTCTCTCCTTCCCCCCAGGAGCCAGAGATCGGTGATGGAGGGATGGATCCGGACTTGTCTGCGCAGAGAATCTCCCAGGGGCAGGGCAGGGCTGGCCCTCCTCCTACCTCTGTTGCATAGGCCTGGTGCTCAGGGTGAGCTGGGCAGGGACTTGCTGAGAGGCCCAGAGTGTGGCCGAGGTGCCCAATGGGCAGGGCGGCACGATGGTCTGTGCCTCACACCACCTGGATGCCCCTTGGAGGTGCCAGGGCTGTCTCTGAGTCCTTCCCACCTCAAAATCTCTGTTGCACCACAAGTTTCTATGGAACGTGGGCCACATTACTGGCTGACCGTGATCATCGCACCCCAGGGCAGCAGCTTCGGATCCTATTCTCCTGCTGCACTCCCAAGACTTGGGGCTGAGACTCTCAACCATCCTCACGGCTTTGTGGACCTGCCGACCTTGCCCGAGAACACTGGCCTGGACTTCCACTCCAGCCCTGACACACGCAGAGCTGGGCTGTGTGGCTTCAAGTCTCAGGTCCCTCCTGCACCAGGCCCTGCAGAGAAGAGCTTGCCACTGGCTGGGCTGTAGGCACCTCCGCAAAGCAAAGGTGGACAGGCTTAGTCACCGCCCAGGCAGGCGTGGCTGAACAGGGGCAGAGGTGCCCACCTAGCTACACGCAGACCTCCTGGGAGCCCTGGCGTGAGTCACACAATTGGGCCTCTGGGGGAGGCTCCCGGGGCCTGCACCCACCCACAGCTGCTGACAGGCCTCTCCCAGATGCCAGCAGCTCAGACGTCAAATGCTGCAACTGGGGCTCCTGACCAAGGTCACTGCTGCTCCACCAAGGAGCAATTAGAGCCTGAACCACCGTGGGGGCAGCCCAGCTGGCCAAGAGGACTCAGGCGTCAGCCAGCCCTCGCGGCTCCCAGGCTCCCCTCCAGCACACACCGTGTCCTCATTCCTGCAGAGGCACACAGTGGGAGGTAGGTTCTGTGCACACACACGTGCGTGGACGGCTGCCTGCGCACCTGGAACAGGTGTGTCTGTACATGCATCACGTGATGACGATTACAGTCAGACGCTGAGAAGAGCACTCTGTCAGGAGCTAACATTACACACGTTACCTGATTTCATCTTCAAGAACCTTATGTTTTACTATCGTCATCATCCCCACTTGACAGATGTGGAAACTGAGGCAGAATAGATCACAATTAGGAAGACGCAGAGCTGGACTCAAAACCAAGCAGTCCAGCTTCACGACCCATATTCTTAACCACCACAGAAGTGGAGTAGGTACACATCTGTGGTACGCAAGAGCGCAGAGGTGACTCCCTGAGAACGAGTGTCCCTGAATACTGGTGATTTATATATGTGCCACCTGTGAGTGGGTATGTCCACGTCGCTGAGTGTTTGCTTTCTGTGCACACACCATGAGTCCAGTCGCAGGTTTGAGAGTCTATG